TTATATGGAAAGAGGATTTTAGGATCGTCCTAGAAGGTTTATTTGGTTTACATGCAAAAATGCGGCTTCTGGGAACAACTTTTCATTTGCTTTACATGCAAAATTCAGACGTCAGTGTACAACTCCTTCACGTCTCAGTGTTTCTGATTTATTTCGTGCCTATGGTCTGGTTTGTTGTTTACCTTATGCCTTTTCTTTTTAGATTTACTTTGAGACAGGTCAATCAAAAACGTCCTGTTTGGATGGTATTGTGGCTCTGAGAGAATATTTATATCAAGTGTTTTGACGTTTGAGAAGACGTATTCTGCTACCGATAGCAAGCTCCCAGCGCAAGTCCGTAGAATAGGAATTGGTGGAGTTGTCAAACTTCTCCATTTCGAGATAGATAAGCGTAATTTTCTAGCCAAGAAATGGACGGTTGTCGTGGCACTTTTTTCACCCATCGCTTTTAGAAACAGTTTACTTGCTGGAAGCTATTCACACACGTGTTCTGACACGAGATATCGATGGCCACATTTTCCGACAACGAAACTCAAAATACCTGGAAAAGGTTTTGAAGAAATTTCAATTCTTTGGAAGTGTATTAGTTCACTGTTTTAAGTATCAGCTTTTATCTTCTCCGTCGAATTTAAAACTAGGAATTTAACGAATGGAAGAAACAAGACGGTTAATCATACGGTAATAGGCCCTTTGCAGCTAAGCCGTCACGTGACCTACTTTTCATGTAATTATAAGCTATAACGTAACGAATGCCAGAAATTGAAAAAGCATGTTTAAAATATCAAAATGGCCAAGTTTGAGGTCCCCATCATTATTTTGAAAAAAATAAGATTTGTATGGAAAAAGTTGTTGGAGAGCAAGGCCTCAGCTTGCTCTCCAGCAACATTTTCCATACAAATCCTCTAAATTTTCCGAAAATTCAAACGGTCGTATAAACTTACTCTTTAATGCCAGGGGCCTCTAACTGGGCCATTTTGGTATTTCGATGCACTCTTTCCATTTCTGGCATTTTTTAAGTTATAGCTCATAATATAAAAATTTTCTAAGAAAAATTTGGTCAGGTGACCCCAGTTGCAAAGGGCCTATTGGGATCGTATCTCCAACATGTACAAAGCGCGGTTGCGGTTGTGATGTCATTGTTAAGACTTGATGAATTTTTAATCATTGAGCAACGACAACTAAAAAACCAAAATATTATTTAAGCTCAAAGCTTGCCAAAATTTTTTATTCTACTTTACACCTGTTAGGACTTTTAATTAAGGACTGAAAAACGATAATTGCGAAAGCTAACGCGGTAATTAAGCTGAAAACTTCCCAAGGTCATTGCTTTTATTTTCCACCTATTAGAATTTATAATGACTGATAATCGGAAAAACTAAAAGCTAAAAGCTAAAAGCTAAAGCAGTGATTAAGCTCGAATCAGGGCAAAACTATAAATTTTGCTTTCCACCTGAAGATCTTCCCTTTTGTGATCGTACATGGAAGCACATATTTCATAGCAGAGATCAGTAAGGACTTGTAAAAACATGGATTCGTCGTTAATACTAGTTAATAAACGTGACAAGTAACAATAATGTATACGCCAAAATGCGATAGGTCGTGAGAAAACTTACGAGCAAAAGGGCAAAGTCTAGCCTATTTTAGTTTTGTGTATTTTTAAAATTAGGGCAAATTTAAACAAAAATGAACAAATGCAATTTAATTCATTTTAAGACCCTTTTGTTAAAAGGGTCTTTTAGATCTTTGGATTAAAAGTTGTCCTAAAATTCAGGAAACGTTAATTACAGGGAGAGGAGGAGACACTAGAAATCGTTGTTGAAATGTCTTAGATTACCGTTTTAACCAAACTTTCGCAGGCACCGGTCAGAGGTAACGTTATTTCAGAAACAAGTTACTCAGTACTAATCTGTTTACATCGACAAGATTAACAACCTCTGATGTAAAAACAAGAAACATGATTTATAGGCCGCAGTCATAAGGAATACGACTCGCAAAATTAATTTATAATTATTCACATGATTAGCCATGGATGAGAGGAGGGCTAACGGAAAGCAGGTGTCGAAATTATGTGAGTCAGTAGCTGTTAACACTAAGAAAGCACTGTTTTTAAGCATTTAAAGTTGACTTTTGACCAACTGGTGGGAAGCAGGTACAATGGGTATGTCACTCGCGTCATAAGGGTAAGATCCGGTCACAAATTGATAAAGAAGGAAAAATGAGAGTAAAATTACGCTTTAAGCGTTAGCTTTTTTCTCACAATCGAAAATTTATTTTACCAAGGTGGGCGCAAACGAATACAAATATGAATCTGAGCACTGAACTGGAGGCCAAGTCACATATATACTTCAACTATTGTACTATACCCTTTTTAACAGAGCTGTTTATGGAAAAATACTGAAGAATTTCTAAACAACCTTAGCCTCTTCAACTTTAAGGATTGTTTAAAAAGGTCTATTATTACTTTCTCCTAAATTCTTTGAATCTGTCCCCTTTTTCTCTTCACTACAACACTTCAACAGAGTTGTTGTTGTTGTGTGTGTCTCAGTGTGGTGTTCTTATACCTATGCCTCCCTGTAGTGACTACTTTTAAATGTTTATCTCATTTATTATTATTCCTCCTAACTAGTTTAATATAATAGTCATTGTCTAGGTTGCTCTTATTGCTTCATAAGTACTTTTTATATATAAGTACCTATTCTTCCGGTTTTCTTAATTATTTCCGTGTGGTGTAAAATAAAGAAACAAAGAAAAATGTTGTTGGTTTTGCTTCAAAAAGTTTCAAAAGAAAAGCCTTTTTTTTAATGGTATGTAAAATTATTTAAAGAAACCCATGTGCAGTGACCAAGAATATTCGAAATCGCAGGATTTCTAAGTGGGGACAACGACGAAATAAG